TCTCGCTCTCCAGTGCTCTCTCCGCCTCTCTCTCTCCCTCTCTCGAACTGTAGCGCGTGCTCGCTATTGCTATCTCTGTCTCTGTGTAGGTGTGTGTTTCTCAGGCCTAGCTGCTGATTTGCAGCATCCTGCTTATCCTTTAGGCTTGCTATCAAATACACACGCATACACATCCATGTATACACACATACACACACACACACATGGGCGCTTTGCGTGTGCGTGTCGAGTTGCTACCGTCGCTTTTAGCTTTAAATTAAAAATGGAAAATTGATTTTTCCGGTCTTTCCGAATACACACATATACACACAAAGGCACACACACATTCGCACACATGCATACATAATTTATGCGCTCGTGTATGTGTGTATTTTGAATTTCTCTGATGTGAGTGAGTGAGGAATAGTTGTTTTATGTCCCCTTCCCGAAACCGAATTTGTCATCTCTGATTTGTGGCTTTTCTGGCTTTCTGGTTGCTAACGACGCTCAACAATGTTAATGCCCCGGCTCAGCAGTACCAATTGCTTAACGTACAATACTGCTGTGACAGGACAATATCACTGGCAAGCGCTACGATCGACGATATATCCCAATCAGACACATATGTATATGCCGCCTGCATGTATCATACACATATCAGATATGCAGAGATGCAGTTTATGGCTGCAGCAGCAGTTGGGCCTGTTTTTTTTTTTACACTAGTTCACAGCTATCCAAGGGCTTGGTGAATTTTTATTTTCTTTGCCATATATATATATGTAGATATTCTTTTTGGTATTTGGCATTTAACATATATTGGACAGGCAGAAACGGTCCGTCATCGAGCCGGGCGAGAAATTGCACGTACGAAAACCCAAAGTTGACTGAAAGGCAGCCAAAGGAAGCGGCCGACGTTGCTGTCGTCACCACGCACCAACATTTTTCGAGGGTTGCGCGCGCATTCCAATTGCGAAAAACTCTCCCCCAATAGAGCTGATGTTATTGTTGTTGTTGTTGTTGTTGTGGTTGTTGATGACGGCAGGGGTAGTTTGAGTCGCCAGCCAGGCCATGCTAGGCTAAGCTTACGCGGGCTCTCTCTCTCTTTCTCTTTTTACTTGTAGGTCCCGCTTGTGAATTTGTGCATAGCCGATTTTCTCGCTGTGTATCTTATGTGCTGGGGGTTAGTTTTCCAGTTTTATGGTAAAGGTTTTGTCATTTCCAGGCCGCATATGACATCCCACCCCACCTCACACACACACTTACGCATACAAGCACACACACAGGCCAGCCGCCCTCAAACAAAAGCCCTCTCTTTTTGTACTACATGATATATAGACATTTTCCAAGCGACTTCGTTGTTGTCGTTGTTATTTCAGTTGAATTTATGCGTTGTTGTTCGACGTGCACTTTGCACGCTCTGCAAGTGCCAGCCTGCCAGCCAACAACCCCTGCTCCAGGCTCAGCCCTACCCTTCCGCTCGAGTCTAGCATAAAAATCAAATGTATAAACAATAAAGTTGTTCCATATGCTGCCTAAAGTAGAGAGTGCTGCTGCTACCCCGCTGCACCCTTAAGCAGACTTCATATTGCTGGCAATTTTACTCAATGAAAATGTGCAACCACCCCCACAGCCATTCACCCCCTACCCCTCCCCTCTGCCTAGCTTTGCCATGCCCTTCCTTGCAGTTTTGTATCTACATAAATTTTAGCGCCGCATTTTTGCCTGTTTAAATGCGCATTGTGGCCGACGACTGCGCTTCGGTATGGCGATGATTATGATTGGGAATGAGAGCAGGGGAGGGGCACAAATAGGAGACATTGAAAGCGGTGGAGGATGGAGAGGGGGTGGGGGGAGTGGATAGGTGAGAGAGGAGCTTACGTGCGGCAGCAGATGCCAGCAATTTGTTTGCAGGCATTTCAAGTATGCAGAGGTTGTGGTTATTGTTATTGTTGTTGTTGTTGTTGCTGGTGTTGTTGGGCGCCAGCTTTGTTGTTATTTAAAATGCAGTTGCATTTTGTCGGCCTGAACTGATTGCAGCCCACGTGGGTGTGTAATGTGACAGGATAATCGGTATTCAGATTCGAGCTGTCAGCAAACGGAATAAAGTGGATCAAACTATTTGGTGGGAAGGTTTGACGCTTAAGGGTCGAGAGTATTATGATTTTAGGAGTTTATCGGACGAACAAAATTGATATATACCAAACAGAGTTAAGATGCATTTGTCTCCAAAGGATATATTTAGATTAGGGATTAATTGCGAAAATTTAAAAATAAAAAACCCAAAAGCGATCTTAAAATTATACGTTATATTTATCCGTGGTACTGACTGAAAAATTCTTTTCTATATTGTAAAGTTGTTTAATGAATATAATTTAATAGTTCGGTCAACATTTTATTGAAGTGGCCATTTTAATCAAGCTCCATTAAAATAGTTTTATATAGTTAAAAATATTTTAACAGTTTTTGAATCCAGACTAAATAAGAAAATAATATATAATATATAATATATAATATATAATATATAATATATAATATATAATATATAATATATAATATATAATATATAATATATAATATATAATATATAATATATAATATATTTTTTAGAACATTTATTTTATACGTGCTACGTAGCACGTATAAAATAAATGTTCTAAAAAAGCTTTGAAAAGTATTTTGAAACTGAGCAGAAAATAATGAAAACGTCGCCAAAAAAATCTTTGAATTGCACTATTTACCCAGGATGCTTTGATTCTGCGAAAAATGTGAAACACGTCTCAAATTTTTCATATGAAAATGAATTTAATGAATTTCATTTCCACCAAGGAGGAATATATTTTTGGAAAAGTCTGAAATTGAGTTTGAGGTCGATCGGATGGTAAAAAAAAAGTTTCATACAAACGTTTTTCGCGATTTTTCCATACTTGCGGGTGGAATTTCCAGAAACCCCGTCTTAACGTGTACCTTCATCACGTAAGGTAACTACAGTAAAAATTTGAGCCTCCTAGCTGTTACGGTTTTGGCTGTGCGTTGATCACCAATCAGTCAGTTAGTCAGGACAAACAGTTTTATATATAGAGATAATATATAATACATATGTATTATATAATTTATTTTAAATTATAATATATTCTTGGGTGCAGTCTTGATTGACTGCAGTCTTAAAATATTTTTAAAATATTTTGGACTATATACTACAATATATGATGCCATTATTAGTCGCAATATTACACAGAATTTGGCATTTCGTTCAATAAATTGCAAAGTAAATTTCATAATTTATTTTTAAATACAACACAAAATGTTGCCAATCTGTGCCAAGTTTTGGCCATAATCAAACAATGGCTGACAGACAATCAGACAACCCACTGTTTCTCTCTCTCTACTCTCTTCCTCTCTCTCTCTCTCACGAAGTGTGTCTCTTACTGCTTATTGCTACTAATACACAATTGCAATATACTTTTGATAAAGCTGTCGCACATTTTTTTTTTTTTGGTCTGTATAGTTTTGCACACATTGTTCATATAAAATAAATAAATAACCGAACTGAACAGAACGTAAGATAACATAACGCATACGCAGCGTGGTGCGCCCGCAGGGAACAACTTGTCATTTCCATTTCCTGATGATTCTTGTTCTTGCTGCTGCTGCTTCAGTTGCTTGTTTGTTTGCCGGCAAAATGGAAATATGTTTTCCTCCTAACTGAATTTCGCTGTGCCATCCGAGCGAATTTTCAATGCATGATTAAAACTGCGCTTCGCTTGCCATTTCTTCTGAGCCCTATTGAACTTTATGATTTATGTGCGTTAGCATTTTCATGCGGCACTTAAACGGCTCAGCGTGCTGTTTATTTGCCGCAATTAAAATGTTTATTTAGGTGTGTTGCCTGCATGGGTGGAGGGGGCAGGTCTGGCGGCACTTGTAAGTGCGCCTAATCGAATTAGAATCTTAGTCGCCGCCCGTTGCTGATGTCATCAGACTGGAAACAAATCTATTTGTAGTGCCCGCTTACAGTCACCTGATATGCTGCGGCGTCGTCCCGACTGCGTACCGCCTCCCAATGCCCAATGCCTGCGTCCCATTAATATTTTAATAACAAACACATTTTCTAGGTCAGTAGCAGAGCGGCCAAAGAAATGCGCGTCGCCTAACGCCTACCGTCTGCCAATGTGCGCGCGACACGCCCATTGTCAAAAAAAATCCCCCAAGTTCAATAACCACCGACCACCGACAGGACATACATACATACGGGACTTTGCCAAAATTGTATGCAGCAGCTGCTGCCCCTGACGCTGCCTTATTAAATTATTTTGCAATATATTTTAATAAATATAATATCCTTTGGCGTTATTTCCTATTTCTGGCTATCGGTTCGATGTGTGTGTATGTGTGCGTCTTTAAAAATCAATAACGCGCACATAACGCATTTGTCCTGCGCTGCCAGCGTCGCTGCCTCGATTTGTTTTTGATTAACTCACACACACACATACGCATTCACACAACCAAAGCACCGTTCTTGCATGTAGAGTCCAAATTTGAAAATTGTCCTAGCCATAGAAATGTTAGGGATATTTTTGTGTTGTGTCGTTTCTATTTTGTGTGTGGGTGCTGTGCGTGGGCACTGCGCAGCTGCATTGGAAGCAAGTGCCAGACAGTTGATGGCACAGCAAGCAAGTACAGCAGCAATTCGCAGCCAAGTAACGCGCAGTAACCCGTCTGGACGCTGCGCGCGCAGCAATTCTTAACTGAAATAATTTGAATTTAAATTGTGGACTGCTTTTGCACTGCTTGTTGCGGCGTTGATTTGCTTCAGTCTCGACTGCTTACTTTTGCACTGCTTCCAATACTACCGTTAATAAACAGTGCTTCTTATACCCATGCTAGGTTGAGCAACTTTGCTCAGACTATTTCCTGTTTTGTGGTTTCTGTGCCCAAAAGAACTTCTCAAATTGTATTTATCTTGCCAATCCTCTGTTGCAACTTAAACAAAAACAAAAGAAATAAAATTCAATATTTTTATTGCTTTAAACTTGTTCCAAGAAAAACATTGTTTTTCTAAAATTGGTATATATATATTGCAAAGTGAATTTTCATCCAATTATAGTACATCATCTAAGCCCGAATAAGAGTCGTGTGCATTGTGCTCTCGAGCGTGGACTAGCACTACTCCCAAAATATGCTCCACTCGTAGCATCCCATTCAAACATTTTGCATTCACGGCTAATGGTAAACTATTTCTTGGTCTTTTTATTTTTCTTGTCGTCTTCGCCTGTAAATGATGTACCCACAAAATGCTTATTTAATTAGTTAAGGGAACGGGAGTCGTCACATAACGCTAATTTCTCTGCAAATGGCTAAAAAGCTACCAGCATGCCTAAAATGCCAATACCCAAAGCTCCATGGGCGGCCAATACTTTGCCGCTAACTCCTTTCTTTTTCTCTTCTTTCTCACAAGTGTCGCCTGGAAGACAAATTTTCCAAATATGCATTAAATTTCAATCGAAAATGCTCGTTAATGTACGATTTTCAACGCCTCCAGGTCGACAAAGTGAATCACTTAGTTAAATAAAAGCAAAGCTAACCAAGCTGAAAGCATAAAAAATTATGCCCTCAGTTGGCAGTGGGGATACCCCGTACTATGTTTTATGCTGGAAGCGCTGAAAATTTTAATTAAATTAAAAAATTTAATACTTACACGGTGGTCCATTGACATCACCTTGTAAAGCATTTACTAGCCCAGGAGGATTCTCGTATTTCTGATTAAATACAAAAACCTGCAAAGATGCATGACGAATACAATAGCTAGGAAAAATCAAATTTGATTTAGCTATATTGTTGCTTACCTTGCGTACGGGCACCTTATAACCCTGACGCGTCTCAACATATTCACATGCAGCAGGGTTTTTTGTGAACCACACATCATCGCGGGTCACTGCCAGGCGTATGAGGTAAAGACATTCTATAGTAAAGCCAATTGTACTAAAAAATATCAGTGGTAATGCCTGTAAAAGAAGAACGGCGGAAAAACATTTATTATATTAGTTATAATGTTATGGGTCTATAGATAACAAATTAAGAAACAATAAAGCTATGCTAAGTTTAAGATCTTCTCAAAAGTTATATATATATATATATAAAGGTATATTAAGGGCACAATTCATTTATCGCTGTATCTTTTACACTGTTTCTTTCTCTTTCCCAGTCATTCTTTAGTTAATTTGTTTTGAAATCATTTCAAGTGCTTTCAAGCATTTAAAAAATACTCAGCAGCAATCAACTCATTTAACGCGAACACTTAACAACACTGACACCTGTGCGACAACTTTGCAACACTGCGCCGTAACGAGCAAGGTACTGCCTGCCTACCTGACAACCCTCCGATAGCGTGCGCAGTGTGTAGAGCAACCCCAGGCGCAATAAATGACAGCTGTCTTTGCTTTAGACAGATTCTCTGCCGCATCGCTCTCTGCCTCTCTCTCTCTCCGTCTCTCCTTCGGTCTCGTTAGTGCGTATGTGTGTGTGTATTTTATTTTCGAATGCCGCTGCGCACGCTTATTCGTTGACTTACAAATAAAATAAATTCAAGCGCTCGCACACATCCTGCGACGCATTCAGAATTCTACACTCGCGCGGCGCAGACGTTTAGTAAAATTGGCAAACGCATAAAATAACGCATAATAGAATATATAAATACACGATATACGTTTAGTTATATGGTTACTTTTGCTGCTATTAAATTTTTCGTTGGATTTATTCGCTATTCGTGCCGTGTGGACATTTGAATTAATTTATGTGCTTGTTGAATTCAAATAACTAAGCAAAAGTATAGCTAAGCACCGCCCATTGCCATTGGCAACAAAAACAAAACGCGAAAAAGGAAAAACCCAAAGAAACAGACACAAGTTAGAGAAACGTAACAGAAAAACAAAAAAAAAAAACGCGAAACGTCAAAAATATTACAAAGAAAAGCCACGAAAGCAAAAACAAATCAATATTTAAATCAAAATCAACATCAAAATCAAGAGCAATTAAAAGAGAAATTTCGTTTCTTGCGCTGCACTCAAACGGCCTTCAAAATTCAGCTTAAGCAGGAAATGCACGCTCTGAAGGAGGGCGCTACCATGATGCACCATCAGCCGCCGCCGCCGCTGCCGCTGTCGTTGCCGCAAGCGCTGCCTTTGCCGCAGTCGCAGTCACAGTCGCCGCACAAGGATTTATTGAGTGCAGCTGACAAATATTTTTTTACCGCCCACAGCAATCCGATTGACAATGCTGCCGCCGCAGCAGCCGCTGCCGCTGCCGGTCTAATTGATCCGCATCACAATCGCGATCTGCACAATGCGCTGGTCGCCTCCATAGCCAACAGCAACGTGGCTGCCATCAACGGTACATTGACCACAGCTGCGGTGCTCAAGAGCGCTGCAGCTGCCCAAGCACAGGCCCAGGCCCAGGCACAGGCACAGGTTCAGGTGCAACAAACACAGCAACAAAGCGCTGCTGCCGCCGCCGTCGGGCAGACCCAACAGCAGCCCACTGGTGGACAGGATCAGGCCAACGCACAGACCAATGGCAACCAACAGCAGGCGACTGCACAACAGCAACAACAACAACAGCAGGCGGCTCAACAGGCCGCCTTGGCGCTTCTGAAGGTGGAGAATGTGAATGGAGCCGCTGCACAAAATGGCAGCGGTGCCAATTTGAGCATCAAGAGCAGCTCCTCGGGCCGCTCCACTCCTAGCAATAGCGGTGGCAGCCTCTCAGATCCCGCACCCGGCAAACTATTTGTCGGCGGCCTCAGCTGGCAGACATCCTCAGAGAAGTTAAAGGAATATTTCAACATGTTTGGCACCGTTACAGATGTGCTCATTATGAAGGATCCGGTCACCCAGGTAAGCCACATGTAGTCTATGCCTAGTATTTTAGTCAACTATGTATATGGCAATTTTGCTATTTCAATTTCTTCCTCTCTCCGTCTCTCTCTCACTATTGCTCTCTCTATGGGGGTTTTTACTTCTAATTTTTGCTTTTCTGTTGTTTGTTTGCGTTTCTTGGTTTGCTCTCTGTGCAGATTTACCAGATTTTACAGCTACGCGTCGTTCCGTTTCGTTTGTTCGCGTGCGCTCTCACGCTCTCCCGCTCTTATCTCCTTTTCGCACCTTGTTTTTCGGCGTGTCACTGCGCGCAGCTGCAGCTGCTTGGCCGTTTGCAGTAGCAGAACAACAACCACAACAATGATAATGTGTGATTTACTACAGTCGCGTCTCTTTCTTGGGCCCTTTGTCTGTGGCCTTCCCCTTCCCCTGTCTCTTTATTTTTGCATCTTTCACATTATTTATTGGTTTCTGTCTGGTTTAGAATTACAGTTTTTCGCTACGTGCCAAACAAAAGACACAAAACACGACCACCAGGCAACAAGAAAGAAGAGACAACAACACATCAGGGCATATTATATCGCCAAATCAGGTTTCACACTAGAATCTTTAAATAAACTGACTAGTATTCCGTTAAAAAAAGGTTGAATACTTCAAATCTAGAAATTAGTAAAGATAATGAGGGCAATAATTTGAGAAATCATTTTTCACACTAGCATCTAAATTCATTCGACAGAATATTCTAGTGAAAATATAGTGAAAAATGTTTCAATCAATTAATTAAGTGGCTCTAATTTGCTGGAGTCTACTGTAACTGCTTATAACATTATTGCCCTGCATAGCTTAGCTTAAAGCAGTTTAAGCAATTTCCACAGTCGCATCCTGGCATAAGAAACACAGTCCAGTCTCGGCGGAAATTGTATTTTTAGCATGCGTATTAAACAATTTGTCCGCTTGATAAGCGCACAATTAACTCAAATACATGCACATATACACATATGCATACAAATACTGTTATTGTGTTGTGCCTGCCAATTGCAACGGACAGAGCGCGCGCTCGCGCTTTGTTAGGCCATTAAAAATAGCAGCTGCCGTTCACGAGTCCTGTGCGCGCAGCTGTTTATGCCCCCTTTTTTATGATGCGGCACAGGACAATGGCAACGCGAGCCTTGTAGCATTAGGGTAGTTTGGCCTGGTGCGCGCAATTGCGCAATTGCGGCAACAACTTGGAGGGCAACTTGAACTCAAACTCGATCTGGAACTGGAACTGTTTATTCGCAAAAGCAGCCGATCCTAACGGGGGTTGTCCTTGCAGCAGATAGTCGAGAGAAACGCAAACAAACAATGTGCCCTTTTATATACTTTACAAAAACTACAGTCACACACACACACAAACATAAGGTACACCTTTTGTTGTGCTTCAAGAAACAAAAGAAAAAAGAAAACTGGTTTACCAACTGCTCTGTCACTCGCACACACTGTCCCTGTCTGTGTGTGTGTTTGTTTTTGTGTGCACGTTGCGTATGTGTTGTGTGAGTGTGTGATGTGATGTGTCCTGCTTATAGGTGAACCAATATCCAAGTACAACTAGTTTTTAAGTATAGGAACAAAAGTCTTAGCTAGTGTATACATATGTAGTCGACTATATGAAAGAGCATAAGAAAAATGTATCTAAAATATAAACATATTTAATTCAAATGAACAAACAAACATATATACATATATACTTGAAAAGTGAACAAATTGTGGAGAGAACCAGCAGCAACTGGCGAACCAAAAATTCGGAACTGGAACTTTGACGCGTGCGCATCTGTTGCGCCGGAGGCATCATTTCCCCCCACCCCGCACAAAATAAGAGGAAGCGCAGATCAAATCTCGTTAACGATGTCTTAGGTACATGCTCAAATCCCATCCCAAAAATAAAAAAAGAACGCCCAACAAAATAATTATTTAACTGTATAAAAACACGTTTAGCGTAATATCCAGCTGGCGCATCGTACTCTCTCTCTCTCTCTCTTTCTCTCGTATCTCTCGTAAAATTCTGAGCAAAACTTAATATTATAATATTGAAACATAATTATAGTATAACCGTAATCTAATTAAATGTAATCGTACTCGTACTCGTGTTGTGTACTTGGTTATTCTTAGCGTTTCTCACCCCAAAAAAAAAAAACAGCGACTAAAAAAGAACCGCCTTAAAACTATGAGTATTTTACATACTACTTAGATATAGAAGAAATCTAGCTGCAGCAATATTTTCATATACCCCTTAAATACATTATAATGAAAACAAATTTCGAAACTTCCCTCTAGCAATAAGATGTGATACACAACCTGGTTTTGCTTTGTATCTTATAGATACTTCACATATCAAAAAAACCTTAAAAAGAACCTAGCTCTAGCCTAGTATTATACCAGTATTGAGTACTATTAAGTTATCTTTTTTTTGTGTTTAATTTTTGCTTTATTTATTTCTTGGCCTATTTATTTTACTATTTCCTGTGTTAGTTCTGTAGTTTATTACTATACTATATATACACCAAAAATATTCTATAATTATTGATTTTTTCTTGTTGGTTTTTAAGTGCAGCTACAAGAAATGACAAAAGAAAAATATTTAATTTTAGTAGGTCCATTTATGGGAATTTCAAATTTAGTTAAATAAATATTTTAATATTTGTTTGTACTTAATCAGAGTTTGAAATGCTACTGCCCCGAGTTTTAAATCCCGTTTTATATATACTACATAGATATTTGTTTTCTTAAAATTCATTTAAGAAGTCGTCAGCCTTTAAATCTTACCAATTATTATACTATTATAAACACGCCTAGATTATGTGATATAGATGAATTTATTTGAGCTACATCAACAATTGGTTGGCCTTCTTAGCAGGCCTTGTTGTGCGGGAGGTACTACATATATCATAAGTAGTTATCATTTAAACAATTTGTACAAAAATAAACAACTTCGGCACGCCGAGGTAAATATGTCCTTGCAGATATATTACTTTATTTAGATGTAGATTTCTGTCATATAACCCAACAAATTAGTTGTAGATAAATATTATCAGAAAGCAAAGAATTATATTCATAATTTAAGGTGAATAGAATATAAATATTATGTAAAAGTTTCATATATTTAACATTTTTATGATCTCCCCCATTCAAACCAAAATATATAGACTTGGCTATATTTCAGCTGCTTCATAAGTTAGATTTTTAGCCCATAGATAGGCCTCTGCAAGGTTATAAAACAATCGCCTTAGGCTTAAGTCAATTTTTGTATACCAAATTGTATTTGTACCAGACTGTAAAGATGATAAAAACGTAGCTATAAGCAATTTATTTACACATCCAACTCATGTTTTGTAAAGAAAAAAATATGTATAGTAATAATAATATTAATCTTTAAGAACGTACGTTTCTTTGTAAACTAACAAGCAATTGTATGGAAAAAGCCCAAAAGCTTTTCGTTAATATTGTACTTAGGAAGTATCTATAATGATTCATCACATGAGTATCCTCTCTATATTCGTAATGGCCTAGTAAATGCGTTTGATCCGTTTATTACACTCTTTCTTCTCTCTATCTAACTGACTATCTATATGCTGCATTTTAAGAACTTACTATCACAAGCTATATATAGTTATATAGCTATATATAAAGCCTCATATATGTAATCTTTGTATTATTGTTAAATATTATTTGGAAAAGTGAAGAGGTGGAAAAAAAATGATAATAATAATTTTGTTAATATTCGATATATATATTTGTGTATATACTTAGAGCGGGCTTGTCATTGATGGAAAAACTAAATAACTATTGTTCAAATCTGAAAAGTATTTAGTCCAAGTTTTAGTAAATAGCTGAGCATAATTTTACGTAATTTAAATGTGTGTTTAACTTCCGACAAATTTGTTGTTACTTTGTTGTCGTGATTTCTTAATACAAGAGGCGACGCCTACGTTAGGACATTGGAGAAGTGTATCGAGTACTTTTGCGTAGTATACCTGAAAGAGTATACGTAATACTCACACGCGAACATATGAATATTTATGCGTTTGAGTAGCACAGCTTCGCGTAGAAGGTTATAGTACGCAAAATTTACTCAATGCAAATCTCCGAAAAACATGCAAACTATATGTACCATCGGTTAACTAATTTGGAAAAAGTACTTTAATTTGAGTTTAAACATTTTATATTTATTTTTTAGTTGAGTTTTTTTAATTGGTGGCATCAACTGTTTCGAACTGTTGATGAATTGATTTTTGAATTTGTTAAAGTCTTGCTAACGTTACGTAGGACATTTACAAATAATTAACTTGCAATTAGCTGATCACTTGCAAATTTAGATTTATATATACATATATACATATATATATATACAACAAATTTATATACGTATTTTGTAATTGCCGCCTCTAACCTCCAAATTTGAAACGCACAGAATTTTTGGACTAACATTTACTAAACTCTGTCTCTCTTTTGTGTTTCTCCCTCTCTCTCGCTCGCTCGCTCGTTCGCACGCTCTCCCCTCTCTCTCTTGTGTCACGTCACAACTTACAGCGTAGTCGCGGCTTTGGCTTCATCACATTCCAAGAACCCTGCACCGTGGACAAGGTGCTGAAGGTACCCATACATACACTGGACGGCAAGAAGATCGACCCCAAACATGCCACGCCCAAGAATCGACCACGCCAGGCCAATAAGACCAAAAAGATATTTGTGGGCGGCGTCTCACAGGACACCTCCGCCGAAGAGGTGAAAGCCTATTTCAGTCAATTTGGCGCCGTCGAGGAAACAGTCATGCTAATGGATCAACAGACGAAACGCCATCGCGGCTTTGGTTTTGTCACCTTCGAGAATGAGGATGTGGTGGATCGCGTCTGTGAGATACATTTCCATACCATCAAGAACAAGAAGGTCGAATGCAAGAAGGCGCAACCCAAAGAGGCTGTCACACCCGCCGCCCAGTTGCTACAGAAGCGCATCATGCTGGGCACCCTCGGCGTACAGCTGCCAACGGCACCGGGTCAGCTTTTGGGCGCACGAAGCGCTGGCGTTGCCGCCATGAATCCATTGGCCATGCTGCAGACACCAACACAGCTGCTGCAATCGCCAGCGGCTGCAGCAGCCGCACAGCAGGCGGCGCTCATATCACAGAATCCATTTCAAGTACAAAACGCAGCCGCCGCTGCCACAATGGCCGCTAATCAGAGCAACTTTGGCAAACTGCTTGCCACATATCCGCAGACAGCGCTGCACGGCGTCAGGTGAGCAACAAAATTGGAAGCAACTGAATTTAAACACTTTACTAAACACACTCTCTTGATCTCGGCCCCCACTCTCTAGATATGCACCCTACACCATACCCGCCAGCGCCGCCACTGCCAATGCCGCATTGATGCAGGCACATCAGGCACAGAATGCCGCCGTGGCCGCCCATCAGCAGCAGCAATCGCATAATGCTCATGCACATGCCGCTGCCGCCGCCGCCGCTGCCGCCGGTCTGCATCAGCAGCATCATCATCATCAGCAGCATCAGCAGCAACAGCAACAGCAGCAACAACAGCAGCAACATCATCACCACAATGCGGCCGCTGCCGCCGTCGCAGCCGCTGCCTCCAACAATGCTGCCTCACAGGCCCATTCGGCCGCCGCTGCTGCCGCTTTGGCTGCCAATGCGGCAAACGGAGCGGGCGCCAATGCGCATTCGCTGGCCGCCGCCCAACAGGCGGCACTCGTCGCCGGCAATCCATTGAATGCAGCAGCTGCTGCGGCTGCAGCTGCAGCTGGCAATCCGGCTGCCGGCTATCCCAATTATGCGTTGGCCAATGTGGACATGTCCAGTTTCCAGGGTGTCGATTGGAGCAGCATGTATGGCATGGGCATGTATGTCTAAGCAGTTCGGTGAATCGCAACTGCCCCTGACACATTCTTTTTATCTTTCTTTGTAATTTGCATACAATTTTACAAACACACACACACCTACTCTCTACACACACATATACAAATCTCACCACCCCACAAAATTTGGTTTACCTTTTGGTTTAACTTAGTTCTTAGTGCCACAAACACACACACACTCATAGACTCCTATACACACACACACACACCCGCACACGTAATTCACAGCATATTAAGTATTATATTTAAGACTCTAGCCACGCCCCTAACGCGTTCTATAATAATAACAATAAACATGATAAGCAATATAACAACAACAAGAGCAGCCCGCGAGGCAAAGCTGCGACTAAGCAGAGCAAATAAGAAAACAAGAAGTTTATAAAAAAATAATGAAAAAAAATTAAACCAAAAATTACGAAAAAAAAAAACACACAAAAAAAAAAACAATTAAAAAAACCACCGATTGTGATTGCGTTTATTTGTAGCAGTTTATATGATTTTTAGTGCATAAAACTAAATATAACTAAAACGTAAAAAAGGAAAAACTATTCTATAACATAAAAACATATTTATAAAAGTATCAACTAAATTATATATATATATATATATATATATATATATATATATATAAAAGAAGAGCTCACTGAACAAAGCAAAGGAAAAGCGAGTAAAGAAAAAAGAACTAACGAACATTTTGCTCAAGCATCGTATTATAAAATATTAAACAAAAAAAAAATATATATATATAATTGTATAATAAATATTAAACATTTAAATAACTGTAAACATATAAAACTAAAATCAAACTGAAAGAAAGCAAACAAACAAAATGAGGAAAGAAGAAATTAACATACATTAAACGACAACATAATTTAGTTATTTAGTTTTTTTGAGCTCGAATTTAATTCACCCATCATAGTAGTTAGGCAGAGACAGAGACAAGACAACCTAACAAGCATCACACACACTAAAACCACACACACACGCAGTACACACACACGCAGTACACACACACGCAGTACACACACACTAAAACCACACACACACTAATACCACACACACACGCAGTACACACACACATACACACATTTGTGCCACAGTCTACTTCTGTACTTCATAATAAAATTGTTAAAAAGCTGAATTTTACCTCCTCAACTTTGTTGTACTGTGTAATACATGCTAGAGACCACAGACTCTATATACTTTATATATCTCTTACATTTATTATATCATTCATTCTTTATATCTACACGCCCTAAAAATTTAATTTAGATCGGTTTGTTCTCCCCATACAAATGTATTTAAGCCCCAACAAAATGCTCAAGCAGCGTACTAAGCCTGGAAAAAATCTACTTTGTGCTTTGTGCTCGAATCCAGTTCTCAACATTTTACTAAACTCTTACATTTCACTTTATTTTATTTTATTTTTATTGTAATTTGCTTTAACTTAATATTATTTTTTTAATTTTTTCTACTCATGCGCATTACTTAATAAATAGTTTAAAAAAGTAGTTATTGTATTAATGAAAACAAAAACAAAAAAGAAAACCCCTCTTAATTATAATTTGTAATTGTTTAGTTGTAGCATTTGCATCTGAGTTTCGCATTAAAGAGAAAATACATTACACTACACTACATTATGCCACACAAACACTTCATTATAAAATAGTTATAAACAAAAACAAAAAACAGGCAGCGTGCCGTTGTGTACTCTTTAAACATTAATTAAAACATTTGATTCGCTTGCATGTTTCAACTTTAGTTTTAATTAATTAATTTACTTAGTTATCATTTGAAAGTAATTATTTGCGTATGTATATATAGTTTATATGTATGTGTACACCACACACACACACACCAACATAATTATAAAACAAACATTTTGAAGTAATTTTTGTGTTTAATAAAACTGGTTTACAACAACAAAAACAAAAAGCGTTGCTAATAAAACAAGCAAGGAAAGAAGAAAAGAGAATTTGTGTTGTTTTATTATTATTATTATTTACTAGATTGTGTATATATTTAATCAATTTATATATAATTATGTAATTTTTACTGATATTTTGTTGAACTTTCGTAAATGTTGTGCTCTTCTCCCTTCTACCCTTCTTAAATTATATCAACATTGTGTGTAGATCTTGTGACACCAGGTGGGGAGATTTTTTATTATTTTGTGTTCCTGTTTCTTTTTTGTACTTAAATATATCTATGTGTGTCTGCATTAGCTGCATTTTAGAGGTGAGTATATACATATATATTTTGGGCATTTATATATTTGATTGTATTTTATTTAGTATACCCAGTATTTGTCTTTGTACAGCATCCCAAGAAACCCTTGCCTTTCCCCCCACAACCCATGTGTCGTCTCATATTTCTTATACCAAAGATAATTTGTATACACTATTTTGCTGGGCTGAATTTTAGACTCGTAATGCTCCATTTAGTAGACACAAACACAAACACACACACACACACATATATATAAACAGAATTTACACAACTAATTTAGTAATATATTCCCCTTAATTTATTTAATTTATTATTTATGCTTAAGAACTTAACACACATTCCAAAAAAAGCTATTTAGTGCCATTCAAAGCAAGTACTTATCAATAATATATTTTGAAAACAAACCCATTAAACCCACGCAAAAACAAAAATACAAAGAAATATTGCCTAGATCTCAGCATTTAAATACAGTTTAAGTTCTAGCCCTGACAGTTTGTATGCTTAGCCATGGCCTACACTTTGCGTAAACGAACAAGCCTATTTTTTTAAACAAGAACTCATTGTTATATCTATATATAAATATAATATATATACCATTTATTTATTATATATAATTTGAATAAATATTAAATATTTTTATATTACTTCGATTTATTTTTAGCGCAAGAAGTCAAATAATGCTTTAGACTTAGTTAATTATATGCTCTCATAAGATCGAATATATTACAGCCCTTGCACACGTATTTCGTAGTCGAATTTTTGTTGGAAATGCTTTCAGCTGTTTTTTTATTAACTTTTATTTATATACTCTTATATCTACATGTCGTCTTCATACATTTAGCTAATTTTATGCTTCCAAAACATTTTCCACGTTCTTAACAGTGTAATAGTTCGAACATTCAAAGTGATAAAAATCGCCAAAAATGAGTTTTGTACTTGGTAGCAACAGTCTAAAAAAATAACTCAATTCAAATAATTTTTTCAACAAAAAAAAAAAATGTTTTGATATGAAAAGAAATAGTATGTAATCCCAAGTAGTAGCTTGCGAATTTTGCTTAGTAACACAACATATATAGCGCTCTTTATATATATCAGTAAATATATACATATACATATAATTTTTGACAAAAAAAAAAACATGAAGCCAAAAACCATAATAATTGAATTGTTCAGTTTTTGAATTAAATATCTCTTATTCATTTTGTGGTAGCGACAGTTTTCTATCTCATCAAAAATACGAACCAAACCAAAAATATCGTCGTTTATGCGACCAAATTGCTGTAATATATGACCACATAAACTTACACTCACACACACACATATACCACTATAAATTAGTTGTATTTTTTTCGTACTTGTAGGTTAAAATTACAAAGTTCTACGTACATTTTTAGCTATATAGAACATACATATTTATATTTATATATAAAAAAAGCATGATGGAACATGTTCAAGTAGTCAATTGCGTATAATTCTATATACAAACTATATACTCAATATATAAATATATATACAAAACTTAACGAGAATGCAAGTGAACCAATTTGCAATCCATATCATCTTCTCACAGTATACTACAAAAACAAACAAATTTCCCCCATTTAGATGGCATTATATATACATACATGCATACATCATATGACAATAAGATCAACTGTGTTTCAGAGCATTCAAGTGTCAGTATTCGTAAACCAAATTACCTAAAAAAAAAAAAAAAACAAAATATATCAAAAAAAAAACAACAGAACTCTTAACGATAGTCAATCGGATTTTAGCTATTGTACTATATATATTATCTAGTTGGATAATGTTGATATGTTCTCTCAATATACTCGGTATACAACAAGAAGAAGCGTATATACATATATAGAACTAAAGTCGAGTGACAACTTTATAGATATTTACATGCATACAGCGATATTTAGCAAGACCGTGATATATTCAATTAGAGAAACCAAAAAACCAAAAATCATAACTTTAAATATATTATATGTATATATCTATTATATATATAAGACAGCGTCTCAAATTGTGTCAAAATTATTACTAAGCGGAACTTCAAAATGGAGATACAAGAAAGCATTTCATAACCCTAGGCTGAACTGTTGTTCTGAGGCTAACAAAACGCATATCACTTTGAAGCAGTGTTACGACAGTAATAATTTTACAGATGGAAAAGTGTCTTGTTTTCTTCGAAGCAAAATCTCTTCAATGGAAACGAAAGTCTTTCGATTTTTGATATGCTTTAGTGAAGATTGTGTATAGAACCCAATCGCAGTTGTTTTCGAGTGACTAATGAGGACCAACCAAAAATATCTTAGCGAAATTCGATCAGAAATCAGGTGATTAAAACCATATATAGAATACCAAATAACAAAATTAAACAAATTTAGTTACAAATCTCACGACTCTAGAATTTAGTTGGTCATTTATTTGGCTTCTTGTGTATTGTTTTTTGCCTTGTTATAATTTGTTAATAAACTATATACACATACACATGCAAACATACACACACACACAACAAATTCAAGCTAGTCAATTGATGTGCATAGCCACAAATCAATACTCTTTCTACTAATTAAGTAAGTATAAACAAGAAAAAACGATTTATAAACACAAACTAAACAAAAAACGTAAACAATAAAGCATGAAAGCAATTATTTTCCTGGGAAAATATAAAATTCAACTATCATTTAAAAATTATTAAAAAAGTATCTAAGAATAAAAGCATTCAAATATAACATATAACATATTGCAAAATGACATGAAAATAAATTTAATTTTAAGCTTAAGATTTAAGTCTTAAACATGTTGAATAATTTAAAAGCAATGCAGCTGAGTATATTTGCTCTTATATACCATTCACATATGTGCGAATGCCATTTGAAAAATGCTATCTATTTATCAATTGCTATATATAAAAAAAAAATATATATATTATATTTAAATCTCGAAATAAAACGCTATTTATGCTTATTTCAAAAAGTGACACAAAATCAAAGAACAAATAATATAAGAACTATATAAAACAAAGTAAATATAAGTGTTAAGCAAAATGAATATACCTAAAAACAAAAACGAAAATATTTCCAAATGTATGTTAAAAAAAAAAAAAAAACAATAGAGAAAAACGTTTTCTTATATAAACAAGGAACATACATCTTTTAAGAGCTCGTCACATATCAATTTACTATATTTTGGGCAGTTGTAAGAGGCAAACATAACGGTACTCTTGCCTATAAATAAGACGAAACGAACGAATTCAACACCAAGTTCATCTATTATGTATTTCAAAATAATGACATTAAATCAGCAGATTTCTTTTTGAATGAGCGCTACGAACTAGTATGCCCCGACTAAAAGGTGAGTAAAGCCACAAAAATTTCTTCTTAATGGATAAAAAAATAAAACCAAAAAAAATGTATATATACATATAACTTAGACTCGTCTTCCAGTAACTAATTGACATGACAAAAAGAACTTGCAACAGCAAAATCCCCAATTCAGTTTAAATTTTAATTTAAAAGTAGTTTGGCCCCATTCAGTTTTTTGCTTACCATATAGTATATAAAAAAAACTGTATTATCCACTTTTGTTAGTGTATTTGATGTCTGTAACTATTTGGGCTTTACTTTAATCTTGAAAGCGAGCTAACGAAACTATATAAGAGAGATTGAGTGTGAGCTCTTAGAGCTACAGCTGATGGTATTTACATATTTGAAGAACTTGTTAGACGTAATTATCAGTACAATTTTTGCAACGAGGAATTTTAAATGAATGAAGTAAACAAAATCGTGTTGGATTAAACTTTGTTGACAAGCTCCCAAAATTTGAATCTTTGAACCATAGTTTGACCATAGTTGAAATGAAATATAATTTGGTATATGGTTTACAATCCTCTGATTAGTTCAGGGAAAAGAATAATGAAACAGAAGAAAAACTTACTAACTGTTGTACATTTGTTTCTCAAAATGAACCTAAAACTAATAAACGATAAGCAAGTGCATTATATTAAAAAAGAAAGAAGAAAAACAAATATAAAATAAAGAATTAAAGTTCTAGTGCTAAGTTGTCACGTATATCTTCTAGGCCGTAAGCAACAACCCATGTATAAGTATATTAAAACCAGTTGAATTGACCTTAGTTTTCGACAAATACATATATGAAAATATATGCTCTAAATATTTGGCATATGCTATCATATATACATATTTATTAAATGTATTTACTGTAACAATTTGCAGCCAACATATATGAAATTTGGTAATGTTTAAACAATTATTATTATTTATTTATTATATATAGCGTAAGACAGGATAAATCTATATACAAAACAACAATCCTGTCGCTCTCTGTATGTCGCTCTATACTTGTAGCGAATGTTTAGACAACCCATATATAACTCTTTCTATATATACAAAATGGAAATTGTACTCTGTATTTACTCTTAGCTACAACAAAAAACAAAACACCCCTCAAAATAATGCTGAAAAACAAAAATGTCAATATTTGAAAACGAAATAAATGATAAAAGTGTAACCAAAAAAACACAAAGAAAATTCATAAATAAACAAAATTTGCATTTGATTTAAAAAAAAAAATGGAAAAACAAAACAAATATTTATAAAATAATTCAAGTAATATATGTACTTTGTCGTAATTAGTCTGCACGCGTTTTTTGCTGTAAAATGCACACAATAAACAATGTATCTACATAATTATGTATTCTATATACATATATATATATATTTATGTATCAACTCAAGAAGTGTGTAGAACGTAAGCGTAAATTATTAACTGCATAATAATTATTATTAAAATAGTTAATTAATTAGCTGATAGTTGAATTAGAAACCACCGTCATATTAGACTTTGTATTATACAGTGTACTATACGTATAATGTACGCTCGTTTCTCGTCATGTAATATTGTACTTCAAATGATTGCCACATCCAATTTCTACATACATATATCCTTCGTAGCTCAAAGCCTTACTTTTTACATTTTCTTTAACTTTCTGCTCTCCGTAAAACATTTCTAAACACGCTTTATAGTATTCTTTTTAGTATATTTTATGTTTATTTTTGAAATTAATACTGTAACATTTGTTTAGATTTAATTTAATTTGTATATAACTAAACAAAACCTCTTAACACACTTTTGAACATTCTACAATTCCAAAGCAAAGTGCATGTCGCTAGCAAAACTGGTTCAAAGTAGAAAACTGTTTCTGGATTTTGAAATATCACGATATATCGCTAAGAATGCGAAGAAGTGGTTGCTATAAACAAGTTATAAAAGCAACTACTTATGTGGACAATGCACTTTTGGGAGTACATCAATAACAGCATCAAGAACAACATATGTATGCATATGTATATGCCTATATACATATATTTTAAAAGAACGTATGCATGAGTATTCAGAGCATTCAAGAAGCATACAAGCTACAAGAAATTCCAAATAAAAGCTAACATTAGATATTAAGTGCAGTGTTGAATAATGAACCAATTTATTGCTAACGCCCGCACATGATTAAACTAAGTACCGCTGTATACATACACATACATATACGTAAAGCATACAAATTTGTAAGTGTGTGTGGTGTTTAGTTACTTTGGAAAAAAATAAAGCGTAGTTTGTGTTGCAAGTTGTACTTAACCAAAAATTACCATACAAAATTATATATTCTATATATGCAGTAAAAAATGCGCAAACTGTTATATAATAATTACTGAATACTAAGTACAGAACTTCTTTAAATGCTGTTTCCAAAGTTATTTAACTTTGAGCTTCTTATGAAATAAACACATATTAATTAATACAAAGTATATAAATATATATAAAGTATACTTAGAAATAGTGTTGATTAGCGCCAAATTAGTATGCACACACACACACACACACACATACACAATTTGGTATTTAGTTACGTACAAGAAATACTTTTAAAAAACACAATAACCCAAAAACTCATCTAATTGTCAGAGCGTAATAGTAATTATATGAATAATTAATATAATATATATATATATATACAAATTCATATATACATACATATAACCCAATAAATGTTTCACATAAAATATATATATATATATATATATATATATATATATATATATATATATTATTGTAGTCTTAAATTATTTTCTTGCATTTGCTTCAACACAAGATTTACGTAACACACAGTAAATATTTTTTTTAGTTTTTTTTATCAAATTTCGTATCCGTATTTGTAATTAGTTAGTTTTGCATAGAGAAACAGCTATATGATTTTGATTTCTTAGAAAAACTTTAGCAAGACTTTCATTTTTCGAATACACTTTTTTAAAATACTCTTATCTAAATGTGTAAATTTCTAATTTGTATAGAACAGCTATTTAAAGTATTTGGTAGAAATCGTAATATAGGCGTAAATACGATAGAAAACACAAAAACTACGTTTTTATAATACAAACTGGTACCATCCGCTATGCTCAAGCCAAATTTCCCAGTCCTGTGAAAAAAAACGCACCCAGTCGAGTGAATTAGCGCGAATCCCTTCAAAACTCTAACCTCAGTTTTTCTTTATTATTAAAAGCTGCTTGCAATTGCTACAGTTAAAAACTGTAAAGCATTTTCATAACCGAATTTTAAAAAATCAATTCAGACTTACCCCCCAGTGATGTTTTAAAGCACCGCTTGAGAACACAACACTCGGCTTCTCCAACCAGGGCACAGGTGGTTCTACAAACGATCCGGATTGAAGGTCCAACACATATATCTAGATAGTTTTAACAGAACTTACCCGCAAATACGGAGCTATGCCGAATTGAACCACGTTTATTGCAATTTATCTAAAATATAAATATATATAACATTTAATCGAATAAATATTCGTTCACCAGCAATATTGCACCTTTGGCATCGACTTCATGAGTCCACGTACTGAAGAGCTTCCGGTAACTAAACGATATGCCATTCTTAATAATTCTGAGACTTAACTAATTTTATAACCTAGTTGCCAATTTGAAGGTACATGCACTTAAATTTTTAGATGAGTTCCGAAATGTCTGCTTACTGGATAATAACTAATATTCCCAAAAAACTCAAAAGTGTTGTATCCGAAACTGTCAGCCACAGGTTGCTATGTTTTGAAAATCTTGAAGAATCTCTTCGATAGCAAGCAATTGTTAAGATATAGCTAAAAATATGGCAGCCTGCATGGATCTGGGAAGTAACCGATGGCAATATTTTTCAATAAATTAAATAATCGACATAATCGCTAAAATCCAAGTTTCCAGTTTTCGTAGGCATAACCCGAGTGATTCCTGTAGCTAGGCAAAAAAAATGTGTGGATGATGCAGCTGCTAATTGCAGGCTGAAAATGTAGTCTTCTAGAGCCCAGGGAGTAAGCACCATTGACCATTTGTAGTATACTCAACAATTTAAATTTATTTAAAAATAAATTAAATTTTTTTATAAAATTCTTATACACATTACATTTATAGAGAACGCGTGCGGCATGCGCCTGTCCTCCTGCCCCTTTGTTATAATATAGTAAATATGATTGAATCTTTAGTTTCATTTAACACCAGAATTTCGTCGCGCTAAGCTGACGGCTGGAGCACGCTGTAAACTATTTGTATCCTTATCGGGGCAGCGAGCAGATTTCGCAGGAGGTCAGCTCGCCGCGATTGATGAAGGTGCAGTGGCTGCAGGTCCAGGTATTGGCATCCAGATCCATGGCATCAGCGCCAGAGCCGCCAGCGCTCGTTGCTGCACCGCTCGGATAGCTGGTGGTGCCGCTGTCAAGGAAAAACCAAGGTAAGCTTGTGTCTGAAATAAAACAATGTGTGTGTCTGCATTCAACTTACCCGCTGCCCGTTGAGCTGGCCTGGACCAATGATTCGAGAAGCTTCCAGACTTCCTCGCCTTTGAAATCGGCCGCCTTGTTCGGATTTTTGGCGCGCACCGCCTCCAGAAGCGGCCCCATATGCTGACGCAACGGCAGCATGTCCATTTTGTATAAATAGATGAGCAAATGGAAGTCCGAGATAGCCTCGAGGAAGTCCTCCTCGGCCCAGGCCGAAAGATAGCTGCTCAGCGCATTAAAGTCCTGCAGATGGCCATCAATATAGCGATTCTCAATGGGGAATGGCTGGCGTTTGTCGTACTCCGTGAATGTGTACTGCGGCTGCAGCGGCGTCGAGGCGGGCACATCCACCAGCAGATACTCCACTGGCAGTGGGCGTGCCAGGCGCTGCACCTCGTTGCCATACTGATCCTTTTCCTGTATGCGATAAAAGAGAATCAGTTTAAAATAAATGGAAGCACTTAAGGAATTGTATTTTATTTTATAAGCTGCAGTGGGTGGTGGGGCCGCAGGTGCGCTCACTTTTTTTTTTACATTTGCGTTCTTTTTTGTGCTGGGCCCCAGTGACCTACATGCTGAGAGCAGGAGACAGCCAGGAAGTGACGTGTGCGAAGTTTTACAACCTGTTCGCTCGGCTCAGCAACAAGAAGACGCTGTCGTGCAACCCAGACAGTCACATGGCCTGGTCAAAAGCTGATGCATCAGCGGCATCAGGGGTTATCAGGTCAAAGTCAGTCAAGCAGTCACGCATACGTCATCGTCGTTAGCATCAGTCAGGCCAACAAACGCGCACACGCACATACTGACAACTGACTTAGCATGCAAACAAAGTTCAAGTCCAAAGAGAGCCTAGATTCGATAATACGGCGGTAAGAGCGCGCTCTCTTAAATTTAGATTTTCTGGCTAGCCGCAACGTGTCAGCTGCACACGGGTCTTAGGCATGAGCTGTGGCCAACAAACTCTCACATGTGCAACAGGTGGGCGTAAAATGCAGCGCCACACCAAAACAAATGCAGCGAATTGGGCAGGCTAAAGGTAAGTATTTGACAGCTAATTTGTGCGCAGCTAACGAAATAATATGCAAGCATTTCTTGAGTGTTTTTTTTTATGGTAAACATGTATATCACATTTGAAATATTTAAGAATTATTTTTACTCGCTCAAGGTAAGGATTTTTTAATATGACAAATTTTACATATTTCAACTATACTGAAAATAAAATCTATGGTCACTTTTTATATAGAACAATTTTCACGTTGATTAGTGGATTTAAATTAGCAATGATTTTAATAAGTTTCTCCATATATTGAGAAGTGTATTTTTAATAGAAAGTCAAGCTTTGTGGCCCTAGAGAGCTGATATTATTACAACAGTCACCTTCTATGCTTAAAATAACGCTAAGATGTCAATTCTACGAGCAAATGTATGGGAATAAGTTATGTTTAATTGATCCTTTATATACAATCAGCATTAACACACATTTTAAAAGATGTTTCTGTAAGTTTACTAGAGACTTTTTTCAAACTTATCGTAAAATCAATTAGTTTTGGGCGATAAATAGATGGAATTGCCTAGAATCGGTGAAAGGAGTGGAAAAGTTATTCCCAAAATGCAAAGACTTGGTACCAAAAAATTTAAAATCAAATATAATACAAACAAGTTTTTTAAAAAGCATTGCTTTAAAAGTAAAACGGAAGGGCGCGGCCTGATGCCCGCGCTAACTGTGCTACGCTGGGAATATCAGTTTATGGACTGTTGACCGGTTTTGAAATAGAATTTGGCAGGTTTTTCTGCACATTTTAGAATTGATACTGACTCTGTTTGGTAGAAGGCTGCAAAGTTTTTCAGGCTAGACTGATTGAATAATACGCTAGTAGGTAACCGAAAGGGAATTCTCGCATTCCATGCAGTTCGGATACGCAACACGTTTTGACCTTCCATTCGTTTGCCACTCATTCAACTAAGGATAGCGCAAAAAACTGGCTGCCAGGCAACGCAATTAGTGAAAGTTGGTCAGCCAAAAGAGCCATCGCATCAGCTGAAGGTAGAATAAACAAGAAAATATACAAAAAAAGTACAAAAAAATGCATGTGGCAGGATGAGCTTTGTTATGCTTCCCACGTTTGCTTTGCACATGCGACATACAGTTCCTGGACTCGTCCTACGTTCCCCTTATTGCATTGTGTGGTCAATTATGTGTGCTTCATTCGGTAAAACGTAGGCGTGGTTATGGGAGGCAGCCCAAACGCAACTGTCAACAATCTCGGCATGTGTTTGCTCTCACACCCGTTGCACAAGGATACTGCAGAATACATTTGCGGACAGTTGCGGCGAACCGCATGTGCAACATTTTCAGTGCAACAGAGCAAAGTTAATTGAAATTAAGTGCACGGTGCAGAGCACCACCCTCATCTGTTCGAACAAATAAGTTTATTATCGATGACGTTGACCATGTAGACGGCGATGAAGATGAATTTGACAGATGGTGACAGCTAGAATTACATCGGTGTCAAAATCAACTAGGCTAGACAGTCCAAGCTGATAAACTGATAAGAAAGTTAGGTTCTTCTTTGCCCAACAAAACAGAAACAAATTGAGAGATTAGAGCGATTTAGTATATGCTTAGCTGTATTTACTCCTTTATGTTGATTAGATTTTTGATAAATCTTATCGTTTACAAATAAAATGCCACTGAAAAATACTCCCAAATCCCCCTTTACAAACATTCTAACAACGACCATGGTTTTTCATTTTTCTCCACACAGAACCTCTTGAATGGATTTAAATTAAAGTAAGTACTCATTCGGCGTCTGACTCTCTGCTGATATTAAGTTAAATAGTTAATTTATATTATTTTGTATAGGGTATCATAAACATGAGCATATATTAGGCACACATACACACACAGACATACTCATAAAGCCAGAAAAAATGCGTCTTATCTGCAACGTGCGCCTTAAAGATGCCACAAAAATGTACTGGCAGTTCAATCAAAAGTACAAGCTTATAAATACAGTAAAAACTCTCTTTGACGAACTGGTATAGTCGGGGCATCTTTCGCCGCTAAAGAGCATAGTTTAATTCAGGAAGAATGGGTATTATGGCCCGATTCACAAAAGATTAAGAGAAACCCTTCCGCCTAATAGGAGTGTTCATTAGTAGTGTTGGCACCGTATTTGCTTTTTACAATACATGAATGAATAATTTTCATGAAGGTTACTTTTTGGTTTCGGCTTGGATTTCCATATTATGTCAGATTCTTTTAACTTTTTTTTTGTCGTAATATTACTAGAAAACAACTCGTTTTCATCTTAACATATACTATGAATGCGTGAAAATAAGTCAACCAATTTGATTTACTGATATTTTCACTGACCACAAAAATTTGAAAAATCTGACAAAGTAATTACAGCTTGATTAGCCAAAGGATACACAGGCACACGACTTGAGGTTAAGCTGCAGCGGATGCAATTTCCAGTTACCAAAGCATATTTCTTTAATAGGAGTAATTATTGCTGCAGGTAGCATTCGAAATACCTACAGGGCCAACAAACAAACACACACACACACGCACACAGCAAGATAGAAAACATTTGCTGAATTAACTGTTAATACGTGCCAAATTGACCGGAACACACAATAGTCAAATTCAAAAGCTGAACAGATGGCCAAGCAAAGAAGCTGTAGCGCGAACAAGGGTAGGAGAGGCGCAGACGGAGAGCAAAATGCAACGAAACTTGACATTGACATTGAGCGCGTAACAGGGTAAGCCACCCAAACTCTCGCATAGCAAGAACTAAGAGAGCGACAGCTGGTACTGGCTCTCTTCGCTCTGCATGATGCTGGCTGGCTATAAAAGCGCCTTACGATGGGTTCGCACTGCACTTGCAATCGAACCTCCGAACGCTACGCACACACAGCTGCTAAGCTCTTCAACGCACTCGAAGCGAAGCGACAGCACGCAATGCTGCAACAACAACAACAGCAGTAAGAAGAAGAACAACAACAGACTAGAAATTTGTTTTAGTTGCTTTTCTGTGCGAGACTCGCCTGTTATCATGCACGGCCAGAGGGAAAGAGGTCATTTCACACCCTTCACTCAGCTCAACGGCCAAAACAACAATAATTATGTTTTGGACGGCAGTTGCCTCCTCGACGGTAACACCAACTGGTATGGAACAGAGTGCTGGTATGGCCAGCGCAGCGCCCACTTATCAACGGCACC